ACCAACACCAAAAGAACAGAAAGCCGCACCTTCAAGGAGGCTTCAAGGAAGCCTCAACTCAAGGATTGCAAACTCAAACAAGACGCAATCACCAAACAAAACAAAAAGACGCCACACGAAATCGACTTGCCTCTCACACAAGCCGCTGTCTGGAAGGTTCTGCGACGGAAATAAAATGAGCAAACCAAAATGAGAAAAGAACAAACTCAAAAACAAAACGTAACATCAAAAGAAGAAGAAGCTACACGAAAGAAAGCCAAATCAAGTAAAACGCAGTCGCCAAAGAAAAGAAGAAGAAGCCACACGAAATCGCTTTATGGGGGGTTTTGCGAGGAAAATACAAGAGACAAGAAGAAGGAAGGGAAGCAAACGCAAGCACCAACGCTAAAAGAATGGAAAGCCACACGAAACTTTGATCAGCGCAGTTACACCGAAGAAAGGAAGAAGAAGCACGAAATCTCTAGAGGGGGTTTTGCGAGGATAGAAGGTAAGGGAACAAAACGCAAGCACCACACCAAAAGAACAGAACACTTCTTCATTGCAGCATGGCACCTTTGTATGTCTGCCTCCAAGAATGTGCACAAGACAAAGAAATCGTTGAACATTTTCTGCAGCAACATTTTAACGTCGATTCCCAATTGCAAGCATGAGAACAGCCAATCTTTTTGTGACAGCACCGATGCAGAGATGCTTTCTGGCTTTCAACCCTTGAGCTCCCTTAATGCTCCCTTCGAGGGTCTTCGAAGGGGGGCTTCAAGGAGGCTAGTCAAGGGTGACCCCCTGAAGGGAGGTTTCAGGGAAATTTGAAGAAGGCTTGAAGGGAGGCTTGAAGAGGACTTGAGGGGACTTGAAGAAGACTTGAAGGCCTGAATCCATCTGAATTTTTGATCAAATTCAGCACTTCAAAACTCTGTTTGCGAAGTCGAAGTTTAAGCTTTCCAAGAGACGCAGTCTTTTGAAATGTCTAAGTTAGAGTTCGTGTCAACTCTGATCAAAGTTTCGTGTGACTTCTATTCTTTATTGGCGTGGTGTTTGCGTTTTTTCCCCTTGCCTTCTTTCTCTTGTATTTTCCTTGCAAAAATCCCGATTTCGTGTGGCTTCTTCTTCTTTTCTTTTGACTGCGTTTTTTCATTTGGCTCTCTTTTTGTGTCGCTTCTTCTTCCTTTGCTGATTGATTGCGTTTTGTTTGATTTTGTTCTTTTCTCATTTACCTTGCTCTCGTTTCTTTCCGTCGCAGCCTTCCGATCGCATGAAGCTATATTTGGAATCTGCGTCTTCAGCTGCGACACCCAGAGATTGGAGAAGAAACAGACCAAGCCAGACTCAGTCGGATTTCTCAAAGAACAAGTTACTTCAAGGAAGTCTGTGGACAATCTTATCATTGTGTGCAACATGCGCAGTATCACACTTCTGCTCGTTCGTCGCGAAAACGCTGTGTCTTTTTAGGTCGCTCGTTTGTCCGACGGTTTTTTGCCGACTCTTTTTTAGTTAGCTCTTTTAAGCTTTCACCCTTGCTGGAACCGAGCGCAGCAACAACTGTCACTGAGGCCCGCATGCGCCAAAAATTGTTTACGTTCCTGTTTCAGACGGTCTGGTGATGAGCATTCTTTTCCGACGATAGGGATAGTTATTGTCGTATCGTCTAAAGGATGCTGCATGGCTTGTTTGTTCCGATAAGACATGACAACAATGACAAAAACAGTTTTTGAATTTTTGTGAAGTTGTGTTAGATGAAAGCCACCATGTATTTTGCGGAACAGAAAGTGTCCGGATCGGTTTGTCAGGGATGATGCATTGTTTCGCAGCCATGTAGCGGTTGTGACCTACAACACTCGGAGTCGGAGCTGCGAGATGTACACATCTCCAGAATCAACCTTGGCTTGCGAACATCATATGTAGCAATGTAGCAGCAATGAAAAAGAAGCTGAACCGGTCCCGTTTTGTACTTGTAAACATCGACCAAATAAGAGCAGAACATGGCAAGGGCAAGCTGTTGCAACAGCCGCATGAGCAAGAACGGGGGCAAAAAACGCAAAACGAGTGTGTGTTGTTTTTACAATGGCATACGTTTGGAGAGTGATAGGCATGATCGGAAGGATTGAGCCAGCATGAAGCGCAATTGTTTGTTTGCTTGCTGTCGCAGCAAGGCAAGAGCTTTTCTTGCGCATCGATGTTCGTGGATGAGCAGTTCCCACCAGATGAATCATCGCTTTGGGGTGGAGATTCGTCGCAGCGGTGGTGCTATGAGAAGCTCGAGTGGCTCCGTCCGCACCAAATTTGCCCGATGCCAGATGGCCTTTTTGATGCAGATGCAAAACCAGGGACATGCAGTGTGAGACAAGGTTGCATTCCCGATTGTTACCTTGTCTCTGCAATTGCCCTTCTGGCGCAACAGCCTCATCTGGTACGCCGATTGTTTGTGGCTTACAAGCCGGAGGAAGGCCTGAATGTGACTAGAAGAAGTGCCTTTGTGTGATGCCGTTGTGGGGTTGTAGTCTAGCAGTATATTGCAGTATATTGTGGAAATCTACACATTTACGTTTTCTTTAGTTGAACGTTTCTTGTTTTCCCTGTCAGGAATTTGCACGGTCAAGCTATTCAGCGGAAGCTGGCAGAAGGTGACTGTTGACACATTGCTACCTTGTGTGAAACTGCGACCTGCCTTCGCTCATCATGACGGTGGAAGGGAGTTGTTTGCTTGTTTCCTTGAAAAAGCTTGTGCAAAGCTGCATGGCAGTTATGCTTGTTTGTGTGGCGGCCGTGTTGACGAATCGTTGTTCACACTCACAGCAGCACCCACCCTGGAGATAAGAGCCTCCATGCGTGAAGCTCTACTGGAAAAGCTGCAGACAAATGGTGAGGCGAATTTGCTGGCATGCGCAAGCGCATCAAGCGCGTCATCGACGTCTGGCCCCTTATGTTCTGTCTCTGCACTGCTCATCCGTCCTAACCATACGTACATTGTAAGATGCATTGGCGATATTGGCGGTCCGAATCCGAGCATCATGGTGTTAGACTTGAGTGCTGATGAAAGAGATGAGAAGCAGCCCGAATCGAGCATTGGAGAGATCTTGATGCACTTGGACGATTTTCTCCGGACGTTCAATCGACTGTTTGTTTGCTTTGTTGGACAATTCCACGCATCACCTTCTTTGCCTCGACACTCTGTGGATGTGGCCGTCACAGTGGGCAACGCAGGTGGTGCTTCATCATTTCCGACATTCGAAGACAATGCCATGTTTAGGATCGTGCCAGCATGCAAAATGCTACTAGCAGTGACCTTGTCACAGCGTGAAATTCCACAGACTGCTCGAGAGCTCAACATGTATGGACGGTTTCCTCTTCCGCAGATTGGCGTTACCGTTCTTCGTCAAGAGGTGTTTCCTGATGTTCCAACAGATGCGAAGAGCTGCACCCGCAACCGTCGCAAAATATTGCATCAGACCCCATTTGAAGGCAAAAGCCAGGCATCTCTTGTCTTCGAGGTTGAGAACCTTCCTCCAAACTTGGAATATCGAGTTGTTCCGTCTCATTATTTTCCTGGAGATTGCGGTTCAGGTCGATTCCAGCTTCATTTCACTTGGTCAGGCCCAGAAGATGGAGTCCTCATCGAAGAAATCACGGAGTGCTCTTCTGGAACTGATCTTAAATTTGCAGGGACTTTAGCTCCGGGTAACATGGCCATGTTCTCTTCCCAATCTCCGTCTTTCCGAGTTTGTAGCGCTTCGGCTCCGGTCCATGTCACAGCAACACTGACGCGTCGTCTCGAATCAACGCTTTGCTGGTGGAAGCACGATCCGTTGCAGGCATTGCTGCATGATCTTTTTTGTTTGTTTGATGCTGATGCCGATGGGTTTCTCTCTCGGGACGAACTGGCAGATCTGTCCTCTGGGTTATTGAGAAATGACTTGCTAAGCAAGAGTGCTGGAGGTTGCACGAAACTGCAGATATTCGCAAAGCGTTGTGATCAGTTGGCTCTTGACACCATCAGCTTTGGTCAGTTCCTGTCACAGAACCTGTGGTCTGGCCTTGCAATGAAGCATGATCTGGAACGGAATGCTCTCAGGATGAGAGATGCAGGCGACCGTAACTCGAGAGCTTTGCATAGTTTGGCGGCATGTGCTGCAGCAGATTCTTCTTATGCTGCAGTGGCTGCGTTGAACTGTCCGGCACAGTCGTTCCAAGATGCACGTGCTTCGCTGGCCAGAGGCTGTTCTGAGCTTCCTGTTTTGAGTGATGCGGCTGTATGGTCGACAAGTTACTCGATCCAGCAGCCGGAGTTTTACCTGTGTCCGGTTCTGCAGGGAAGTGCAAGTAGTGCAAGCTGCAGTTTCGAACTGCGCATTCAGAGTTCGTGCAGTGAGCTGCAGGTGGAAATGGCTGGAGATGCATGCTTCTAACCATGCTACTAAGGCAATGCATCTGGCACACATAGAATCATAGAATTATGATGAAAGCGAATTTTGTCTTTCGTTACTGGTGCTTTGCAGATGGCCCATAGCTTGCTTCAGAAGTCGAAAACCTTGCGATATGTGCGTGTTCCGCTGAGGGGATCACTGACTTGTTAGAACTCTAGGCGATTCAAGACGGTTGAGATGCCAGGTAGCCTGGGATGATAGACGACATTGTGACCGTCATGTCCTCACCAGATATGTAGCTATGCAAGGGGGGACATGCTGTGCGTTTTGGTCGCGCCAGTGGGCTGCCGCGGGCCCTGCCCGCGCAGCCCCGGGCGAGATGCTTGCTGATGGGACTTCAGCTGATGCTGCCACTTGGCTGGGAGAACTTGCTGCTTCGTAGAGCATGCTATAGATGTCCGATGATTTCGCGCAAGAGTGGATGGTGAGGCATTGTCAATGTGGATATACTTGCGGTATCAAGGCTGGGTGGGTCCTCTGCAGCAGGAAAACCAGGAGAGGCAGAAGGTTCGACTTTCTGTCAATCGCAGGCCGCCTTGGACCGACACCTGGCGAAATTTGCCGGCACTGAGTTCGAGCGCGAGCATGGTGTCGACCTCAATATGCCAGGGCTTGCAGCCTAGGAGTCTGGCTTTGGGAGGCCCCAGCTTGCCGGTTCCCAGCTTGCCAGCCAGAGGAGTGCGAAGTGTCGTGGCTTCGGTGTCGCGGCTTTGTGCGGGTTTGGCTCTTGCAAACGCGATATGAAGGCTCCACTCTTGGAGTTTGGCAAGGACTTCTATGAAAGCACCTGCCCCAAAGGGAAAAGGAGAACACCATTTGAAAGAGGCGTGCAGCCTAATTATTAGTAGACCGCCAGCATCCGCCAGCATAACACGGGTTGCCGCCTTTGCTCAGCCTGTCTCGAGCGTGGGGTAGCGCAAGAGGGGCAGGCCCGAAGGATTGCTGGCTTTCGCGGCAGAAGACAACCCACAGGAAGACTTAGCAACTAGTATAGTTAATCGCAGTCAGCTAGCAGTCCTCTAGACGAGTATCCTGTCGCACCTGAGAAGGTCTGCACCCCAGGCATATCGCTCGAAGTGAAAGTTGTTGGCCATTGGCATCTCTTGGCATCTCGTGAATCTCGTGGCCTTGGCGCGAGGTCACAAAGCCACGGGCTCTGGAACGATGGGATTTCAACTTCCTTTGCTCCAGTGCCAGCAGGATGTTGAGAGACTAGATGTCCTGCATGTGTTGGACGACAAGCCCTCGTGAACACCGCAACTTGGGCTACCCTGCCGCAGGACATCAGAGCTGGAAAGGATGTTCCAGCAGATGCTGTAGGCCACGCAGAGTCTTCCGCGGCTTCAGTATCGGGTGCACTACGTGAATATACATTGTGCAGGATGCAAGGATGCACCAAAAGAAAGTGCTGCGATGAACCCCGATAGCCGTGCGGACGCGAAGGGAACAAGGCGGATATAGAGTTTAAAACGGATGGGCATAGCTCAGGGTTTTTGTTGATGGTACCCTGGCCTAGGAGCTCGGACTCTGGAGGTTCTTGTCGAGATCGAGGCGCCGATTATGTTAGGGCTACGCTGGGACTTGTTGCGGGAACGGAGGCATCGACACTTCCGGGCCAGTGAAGCAGGTGCGGCTCGCGGGTGCATGCAGTGCAGCGGTGGTTGGAAGCTCTAGGCGTTAGTGGAGTGAGATAGTGGATGGTCCGCGATGGTCCGGTCATGTTGCTGCAGTTGACATGGTGTGCACCGGAGCCTCGTCTGAGCAGTTTGCTATCTTGCATGAAGGTTCAAACGTGCATACGACTTTCGCTCCATCCGCCGGAATCACATGACCAAGGCCTTGCCCTTTTCCAACTTGTTGATGTTTGCGCTGGCAGAGGTGGCCGCAGTCTCAGAATGAAGTCAGGCAACAAAATAACAGTGAAACAGTTCTTGTTCAAAGAGCCGTACTCACATCTCCAGATTTTTATCGTTGACAGGAGCGTCCACGAGCCCATCTCTCCCTCACGCTTTTGTGGTCTGTGTCATTTTTGCTTTTTCTTGATTGCTTCTGTACATTCGTCTTGCAGATTGTTCATAATGTCGGTTCAGCAGGCTTGGTTCTCGGTGCAGCAGGACAGCTGTGTCTCGTGGATTCGGTATCGAAGAGTTTGTGACAAGTTCCGCATGTCACTGTTATTGACATCAGGCAAAGGCTGCAGCTGCTCGCGGCCAGACACAGGCCTATGCAGTGCAGGAGCTCAATGTTTAAGCTGGTGTGACGGCTGCTCCAGGCGATGCAGAGCTGTCCCAAGTCAGCCTCTTGCCGAAGACTGCACTGCGAAGAGGCGCTTGGGAAGTCTGTGTAGTATAGCCTTTATAGCTTTGAAGTTCCGCTTGAGGCCGAAGTCGCGTCCAAGAAACGGTGCTCGCCTTATGCTGTGACATGCTGTGGCCTCTTTGCGCTGCTTCGCTCCTGCTTCTCTCCTGCTTTACTCTTGCTCCTTGGCTGCGCATCGATTCCTGGAGGCGCGTAGATCTGAAGCCTGATGGCGATGTGTTGACTCAGCGGAGTCCTGAGGGGTGCTGAGTCTCGGCAGATGCAAAGAGGGGATGCGAGGTGTACAAAGGACAGTCCAAACAGGTGCCGTGACGATCCAGTCCCTTGTCCAGTGAGAGACCGGACTGGAGGGACTGGCATCTGAACACGACGCCAGGGATCCTTGCGTAGCCTCTGACAAAGACTTGACAGATTCAGACACCAGCTTGAAGACATTCTGTCGAGGCTTTGTCTTTGTCATAGACGGGATAGGCTTGCGGTTTGAGCAGCCTCCGCTGGCTTACACTGGCAGGAGCTTCAAGTCCATAAGGCCAGCCTCAAACAGGGCGATGCCCAGTACCAGGCATGTACAGTGTTGTAACATTACGAGGATTATGCAGAAAGGGACACATCACGGCAGCCACATTGCCAAAGTCACATTGGCGCTTGGACAGCGGTCTTGGCGCGCACGACTCGGCAAGGTTCTTTATGTGATGACTTGCCGGGTCCACAGGGAAAGCAGACGCGATTCTGACAAGGCATCTGTCCATGCAGAGAACTGTGCAACTTCGTTGTGTTTCTTGAGGTCCCCCATTACTCAAAAAGGCAGCCCGTCCGACTGCATGGGCCGAACATCGACGATGGTAACCATGAAGCCGGCCATGGCTGCTGGGTGCTTAGAATTGGAAGCTTTGGAAGCCCAAACAAACGGAGACGAAGCCGAGAAGACCTGATACAGGGCGCACGCTCCTACAGGGCACGTCTCGTCCTGTCCAAGAGCCGCATTAACTTCGTGACTGCACTTGGAGAACTGGAAAGGCAAACAGTTCTTGAAAGATAGGTCGTTTCCTCTGATGTATGCAAGTTTTAGTTTGCTGTGCTTTAAAGACTTGGTGCACACTGGTAGCATGGCACTCAGGACTCGATGGCCCTGGCCTCAATACCAATTCCGATTGCGCCGGTGGAAGAGGATGGTCCAGGCGGTTCAAGTCTGGAAGGTCAGACTACTTCTGGTACGTCACGCACAGAGTGCCAACAAAGCACGCGAGCTGCCTGTCTAGCAGCAATTGTTGCAGCTAGAAGCTTTCATGGTCTTGATCCGTTTTCCTGGAAACCTGTCCTTCTTGAGGCCTGGCTGCCCCGCCGAAGCTGATCCAGGCTGAAGGAATCTGAAGGACTTCAGGAGGGTCCGATACATTCTGTCGCAGAGGTTTGACAGAGCTCGGATTCCGACAAGCAGCTGCACTTGCCGAGAGGCTGGAGAAGGAGCTGAGGCGAGGCTGTGTCGCGATGAGTGGATGAGTGCACCTCAGTCGTCTGGCTTGCCAGGTCTGTGAAGCTTCCACACCTCACCCTGGTGTCTTGCACTCATCCTACCGGACTTCTGCCACTAGTGGCACTAGCGCGTTCTGGTCTCCGAAGGTCGAGTCCGATGAGGCCACAGTGGAATCAGAATGGCACCAACAAAATAAGCAGATCTGAGAAGGCGCTGCGTCTACACCATCCGGCCAGCAATCCAGGCTTTGCAGCCCCAGGCCGAGGTGGCAGAGACTACGCCTTCGGCTTCGTGAGTGTCATCTCGGTTTTTGCTGTCCCTGTCAGCATGCTCTCTGTCATGGTGGAAGTTACGAGTTCGGCTGTGCCGGAGGCTGAGCAATATGGTTTATGAGCTGATGAAGTCTGTCAGTATAAATCAAGCCTGGAGGCTGGCAAAGTTCATCCTGGATCAAGTCTGCACGAGTTTTTGCAGGAGTTTCCCGAGTTCTCGTGTCGCCCTTGGTTGAGCATGCACAGGGCTCCCAGTCGCACCGAGCACGAGCAGCGTCAAATAGAAGCCGTGCAAGCATGCAAGCATTGTTTTCGCAGCCAAGGCACGGTGGTACTAAATCAGACTGGCCCGTCTGTCAATTTGGTCAACGAGTTCTTGTCGCAATCCGAACCTCCACGCCTCGTCCGGACTGGTCAGTTGCAGTCAGAGCGGTCGTGCCTGGATACGCAAGACTGCCTTGCAGCATCTTGCAGCACCGGCTGAACACCTGGAGAAGCTTTGCGATGGAAAGAGGTACAGACATCCAGATAGCTCTGTCTGCGAAACTAGATGTTGGACTTGGAAAATCGGATTCTTGCTCCTCCAGACATCGAATGGGATCTTCCTGCCAGTTTGGTCAACACTTCGTGTGTGCCCGCCTTCCGAACACACATCTGCGCTTGCGAATTCATCCAACCATTATTCGCCGCACCATCACGCAATATGACGCATCACAACAGTCAAGGAGTCAACGGACCACTCAGGATAAGGCTTTCTCGTTGCTGGCAGGATGCCAGTAGCGTTGCTCCCACAGATTCGATCAGTTCTGTGTATGGCATCCAGGTCGTCGAAGCAGTAGTCCTGCGTGACAACAGGAGTCAGAAGGATACACCTAGAGTTGATGCATGAACGACGACACGCATGCTGGCAGTCGTCGTCCTTCCGGTCCTTTCGGTCTCCAGTGACGTTTCAATTTCTCCATTTCACAGCCGTGTGGTAAGATGCTCGAGATCCTGCCGCGAATGCCTCGGGGCCCGATGTGAGACTGTCGTGTTACTCGGCGACAGAGCTTACAACTGCAGGATCTGCTGCTGTACCGGCATCTTGCATTCCCTCGCCTTTCGGTCTATAGGAGTTATGCTTGTCATGCATCGAAGTGGGTTTGTCCCACAGCGCGTCTTGAGAAAGCTTGGGTGGGCTGGGGCTTCTCAACCTTGAGAGGCTGCAAACAAGTGCAAATTGCATCCTGTCATGACCAAGGCCAGTCGGTTTCAGTCCGGATGGTTTCTGGGACTATCAGGGATGCAATGACAAGGCTGCAGTGTGGGAGCAGACTTGCTTCAGATCCTCTCAATCTGATCCAACCTTGGAGGAGACAGAACCCGAATGTCGAGCGCGAGTCATGCGGCTTGCGGGAATCCAAGACCTGGATGTGACACGTGAGGTGCAGGAGCTCCATGACACTGCTGCAACAGGTCAGCTGGTTGATGGAAATCGCGAGATCTAGAGGCACGGGCTTTTTAGCCGACATGTATCGCCGTTTGTACAAAGGCGACACGACATGAGCCGCGTTCAGCGTTTGATCGGTGTAGCAGTGCAGAATGCCGGCAACAGGGCAAGACATGTTGACCAGAGAACTGGTCGAGACCTGTCTTGCATAGGTGGACCGAGAGGCCACACCATCGTCCTGGTGACACATCAAACCATAAATGACCTGCCGCGGCCTCCAGCCTTTTTTGGGATCACCTGCCCAGAAGCGACGCTCGTTCCTGAAGGTTGTGCAGCATTCTTCTTGACGGCTCTGCTGCTGTCTGGAAGTACGGGCAAATCAGGCTAGGTCATGGTACGGTGCTATGCGTATGATGGTCTCATGAACTGTGCTTGAGAGGTACCGCCTGCAAAATGCAGGCATCACGGAGGCTGGTGTTTGCCTTTGGATCCTCCAAAGATGAACAACAAACACACAACCAAACACCCAAACAAACAAATAAGCAAACAAACAAACAGGCAGAAAGACAGACACACAAACACACAAGCACGCAAACACACAAACACTCAGACACACAATCACGCAGACACACAGACACACACAGACAAAGACAAACACACAAACACACAAGCACACAAACACACAAACAAACAAGCAAACAAACAACAAACAA